GTCATGGCGTCCGGGTACAAGTCGCACTTCCTTGAAACCAGGGAATCTGGAAAGGTCAAGATTAAAGTGAATGACTTGAAGTTACTTCCTTTACCTTCATTATTTTTATGAATCCCATGAAAATATGATCTATATCTATTTTACTATTATTATTAAGTGTTTCAAAGTTTTATACATATACCAAATCTCAAATATGGAAAATGGCAGAAAAAAATAAATATTAGAAAGAGAAACCTAAACTTACTGGGTAAAGAGCATAGACAACATCATTTCTGAGGTTTCATCTGGAAGGTTGGTGAGGAAGAGGATTTGGTTAGGAGGCTGTTCTGGCACACCTATGCCACCTGCACCATGAACAGGAGGAGGCTGGTTGAAGAGGCCTGGTCTTGGTGGCACCACACCTGCCCCTGCTCCTGCTTTGGCTGAAAATCACAAACCATGTCAGACTCTGTACAGGCAAAATACTTACATATGTAGCACAGTACAACAATCAGCCTCAGTAAGCCACATGCCACTGAGGAGCCAAAAGTATCAGCAGCTCTCAGGGTTCCAAGGAACACCTGCCAGTCTACGAGTGCAAGGATGGTATCATCATAAAAGATCTATAAACATATAAACAAAATGCATCTTAAATCTTCTTTCTTTACTAACCGGCAGCAGCTGCCCCTGCAGGCACTGCAGTCGCTCCCTTTGCTTCTTTCCCCTTCTTCTTTTTCTTGTCTTCCTCCTTGCGCTTGCTTCCACGCTCTTTGTATGTACCTTTCTGTTTTGCAATCAAATCTGAATCTGTTTTTGCATATGCAATTTTCTGAAAATTGTCAGGAGAAAATAAATTTAATAATAAAAGCTGAAAGAAAACAGACCACAATATGTAAAAGGCTATAACCAAAAGTAATACCTCTAACCCCACAAATGGCAACTGGATCACACAGTGGGAGTGTCTGGGATGAATAGTTGACTGAAGCTGCCTGGGGAAGGCCTCAGTAAGTCTGTATCAGTCATGGGGAACATAGACAATCTATTGTGGGATTGTAGTGGAAGGCAGTGCTAAATTAAGTATTTTTTTCAGTTAATCTTACACTCAGAAAATATATCCCAGAAAAGGACAAAAGAAAAACATGGAGAGGATTGGAGGTAAACAGTATCAGTATAATATGAGTGACAAGACTAAACAAATCACAGTGTAACACTCTGCTCTATATATGACAGTTGTTCAATTTGGGGGCTGGGAGGATGCTAATGCTTTCATTATTTACACTACTGAACTCAGAGCTGAAAGTGTACAACACATTATTTAAATCCAGAAAGAGACTGAAAGATGAGAACCTCTAGGTAATCATCAATATAAATATATACACACTGAATCAACCACATGAAAACAGAAAAAAATGTTCAAGTAAACAAAACATCTTCATACAATATCAAAATTTCTATATGAAATGTTTTAGGCTCACTGGCAATACTCCATTACACATACTCTTACCATTGGCTTATCATAGAAAGGGAATCCCTGCATGGCTCTCATTGCATTTGTAGCACTCTGGATTTCTTTAAAAATGACAAAAGCTTGGCCGCGCATTTTCAACGTTTTTAAGGCAACAATGTCTAGAATTTGCCCAAACTGTGAGAATATTGCATAGAGTGATCTTTTGAGTTCTGAAAGAGTGAAAAAGTAGCATCAATTAATAACTTAACACAACTATCAAGAAAGAAAGAAAAAAATATGACAGAAAAACAAACATGTCAAGAAAACTCCAGTCATATATATTTTTTTAAACAGAGGGAGAAAGAAAAAGTCACCTACCTTCCTTTTTAACCTTTTCATTGAGGTTGTTGACATAAATGGTGTGGTTTGGCCGTATATCCAACATGACTGTGATCTTCTCCTTGTCTGAAATGAAACAAAAAATAATATAATACATCAAATTTTTAAACAATAAAGATAAGTATGGTATTAAACAAGTCCCTTCTAGTAGCTGGTCCTTGTCTCCTTACCCCCCCCCCCCCCCACCTCGACTTTTCACATTATCAAATTAACAGAGAGTGAAAGTGAGAGAGAGTGAGAGAGTGAGAGAGTGAGTGAGTGAGTGAGTGAGTGAGTGAGTGAGAGAGAGAGAGATATATACACACACACACACACACACACACACACACACACACACACACACACACACACACACACACACACACACAATACATATAATATATTATATATAGATATACATATAAATACATATACATACATACATATATATATATGTACACACATAATACATATATTAAATATAGATATACATATAAATACATATATACATACATATATATACACACACATATATATACACATATATATATATATATATATATATATATATATATATATATATATATATATATATATATATATATATATATATATATATATATAAGTATACATATGTAATTATATATACACACACATTATATATTAAATATATCATATATAATAAGGGAAGTCAGTGGAAATTCATATCAGTTCCATTATGGCTGTGCTGTTAACCCAATGCCGACGGGCATGTCATGTAAGTACATGCCATGCCCACTGTCGGTTTATTTGTTTAATTGTTTTTACACATGGCTACACTTGTCTTAAGTCACCAATGAGCCAATTATGAGTACATCCTGTCTTGCCCATTTACCTTTTTTCTTGATTTACAAAAATATTTTGTTATCTTATTTTGCTGTTACTAATGTTTATAACATTATAGTAATTATAATGTTTATAATAAAAATGATACCATCAATATTCACAGCACAGGGGGGGGGGGGGGTGTTCCTGCTAATTCAAGGAAAGGTGAAATCAGGTAAGGTGACAAGGTCTATTAATTAACTGACTCCTTTGTGGCTGAGCACTAGCAGTGCCATCTATGTACAGAGACAAAAATATAAATCCCCATTTTTTATTCTTCTTCCTTAGTGGCATGTGGTTTATCAGCCGCTTGAAAAACTGTTTTGTACTAATATGGAATATATCTTGGCAAAAAACAAAGAGTGGTAGATAGTGGTCTTAATTCCCTCCAACAGCAATGAGGATGATCCTGCTATTTGACCGAGGTATAGAATATACAAGCTGAAGATTTTGAAGATCAGGTAGAGGGAGGTGGGGGGTAGCCTCCTCCATGAAAGAGGATTTAGAATGACTATGAATATGCATTACAATAGCTTAATAACTAGGTTTACTTTGATCAGGGCTGATATCATAGCTGTGGTTTGTTTATGACAGAAATGAGTGTTGGATTCATTTGAAAGACACTCACAGAACTATCAGAAAAGGCTGTGCTACATTTTCAGTATTGTATTGAGTTCTAGTTTCGTGCACAGTTGTCTAGAATTCTCGAACTCTGCTGTAATCACAGTATGAAATCAATCGCTATATTGTCTAATGAAGAGGGCTGTGCTCCCACCCCCACCCAATAAAACAAAGTATCCTCTACATATTCAGGTAGGAGAGAAAATCGGACAGACTCGGCACTGGGTGCTCCCGCATGTCAGTCATAAGCTCTATCCTGCTATGTGTAGAATAAAAAGTCCAAACCGAAACTCCCATAAAACTAGTCAACAGACATATCAATATGTAACTGCAAATATAGCTCCTTCAATTAGAAAAACATGTTAAACGTCCCTTCAATATTTACCCAAGAAGCCAGGGCATCCAGAAACTTTGCTATATGAATGAAAAACCCCTACCTTGTAGCCATATTTCCCCTATTGAAAGTTCAATCCCTGGACCTCCACCCTATCGCCTTGAACTCGATACTATATTGCAATTTAACAAGTTAATTTCGGTATTATATTGCAATTTAGCAAGTTAATTTCTTAATCTCTGAGGTTATTCCCTACCAGTGATAATTAGTTTAGATATCAGTGAGTGTAGTTTCGGCAAAATACCCTTCGATTTTTCCTATCTTAGCTGAGGTCCTTGGGTAAATATACCCCGGGACTTAAATCTCGAGGGGGGGGTGCCGACCCTTCCCCTATCCCCTACTCTTCCTTCCCACTCTTCTTTCTAAAATTTGAAGAAAAAAAACTTGACACTTAGTAAACAAGAAAACACGAAAGGAGAAAGAAAACCCCCCAGAACACACGAAAGGAGAAAGAAAAAAAAACCCAGAAAACACGAAAGGAGAAGAGGAATTCTAAAACCCCTTCCTGTCAACGAGCATTTACACTGTATGCTGAGAGAGGTGGACATTTAACACGAATCAGAACAGAATGGCTGGAGTGGTGATTCATTTAACTTCAAAATTTTGCTCTTAATCAACGACTTTGAAGAAGAAATCACCAATTTTTTTCCCGTAAAGCCCAAACGTTTGGAAGTAGATTCAAAAAAATATTCCTTCAAAATGTACTTTTCAATGTAATTAACGATTACTTTTGCATTCAAACATCTATCAAGTGACTAGATTGCCCACTCATAGCTTCCAAAGGTACTAAACAGAGATAATTGCATTAAATATCTAAAAAAATATCGCAGGAATAGACTTACACTAAAGAACGTGGATGCCGCTTGGTGACGTTCGTATCTGAACCATGAACGAAACATTATAATATTTACTTTATGTATTGAAAAAAACAAGTTATTTATAGTAGCAAATTATTATGAAATAATTATCATGTATAACAGGATGATTCTATTGTATATTTATGGATACTACAATTATAGTATATTATTTTTTCATCCGAATATGAACGTCAATGTTTACACTCCTTCCTCCCTTAATTTCGGTCTTGATCCCTTTTACACTGGCATTTAACTCATCTTAAGCGACCAGAGGTGAATAAATAAGCTGAATATATTTGTCAAGGAGGATACTATCGTGAAAAAAATAGGATATAACTGGAAATATCTCGTCATATTTGCCATTTGGAATGTTGCTGGATCATAATAAGGAATTGGATTTTCTTTAAGCAGAGAGTATAAAGTACCTGGCGACCCGGATTGGGATCAAATCTCCCTGGGAGGCGGAGACACACACATCAACAGATTCCTGCGTCTATACTCTCATATGATTGCTGAACCCTTGTTGGAAGCGACGTTACTCTGGCAAAATGGTAAGAAATTTGCCCCTTTTCCGCCGCCAAAGGGGAGGGATACTCGATCTGACGGACTAAGGGCGACGCAAAGACCTGTGTAGCATCGAATTAGGTCCTAGTCAGGCTGTAATTAGGGACTTCCGTCGCCGACTGGTTAGGTCTGTTGTATCTCCACCCCCTTTTCTCGCCCTGACATTTGGCTCGATTATTTGAGGCGTTTCTTGGCTCACCTGCCGGGCACGAGTGACAGTCTGTGTTATGATAGCTAGGAGGGAAATGGAGGATAACAGGAATTGTCGGGTTGAGTAAGAATAGGGAACTGAAACACCACAAATATAGAGCAAGAGCACAATACATTGCCTTCGAGGTAACATGAGAAACCTATTTATTCTTTAACAGACATTGTGATCCAGCAATTCCTATGGCCTCCTTACCATTAAACTTCTAGTAAAAGGGAAACTAACCACCTTTGTAATATATGCACATGGATATTGTCAGGCACAGTCACAAACATCTTTCAGTAATGTGTATTGCAATTAGTGTGTCACACATTATATTGCCACATGAATGTCTAGAAAGATTATTGTCTCTTTGATGTAGTATTGAAGTTGCAAAGACCATAATGATGTGGTAAAATCAATGAAAAATAGTATATGCTGTCGTACTCCAGTTTGCCATGTCTCTTTTGTATGTCGACCAAGGGGTGTTGTAGACACCAAATTTCAATAATAAAAAAGTAAAGTATGTCATGTTTACCTTATTAAAGTACAAACAATATGCAAATGCCTGGTTATAATTGTTTAGACCAAAGTGACTTGGTAAATCAGAGTATTGCAGAGCTTGGGATGAAATGACAATTTTTCTGGTCTTGATACTGGATGTACTATAAGTCATACAGTGTATACCTTGTACTGTTCCTGTTTGAGTTATTTTTGTCAGACTTGCCTCATTTCCTTTTAGAATTTTCAAAAATAATGCCATAATAGTTGTATGCAAATATGTGACCTGTTTACCTGAACAGTGCTACTTAACATATCCGCGTTGAATATTTAGTCAGACACAAGAAAGAAAGAAAGAAAAAAAAATGTATGAAAGATATTCCAATAAATGCTTGTCTCAAATGTCATAGTAAATAAAAGATGTGAAATAAACACCTACTCAACCCTAGATTTGGAAAATAGGTTATGAAAATCTCCTTAACTAAGAAAACAAATACTGTATAGTGAGTGCAGGGTCTTTTCAGGATCTCTTATATTGCATCCACAAATACATGTTTTCCCGAATGGTAAGTTATGTGAGTTAAGAGGAAAAGATGTACTTTTGATAATCCTAATGAAGGGCAACAATAATACATCCCTAATTTCAACAACTGTCAGGGAGTTGCAGTATATTCCTTGAACAGTCAAAAGGTTACAGAGAATGTATTGAACTATTACTTTTGAAACGTGATGCGCGGGGGGGGGGGGGGGGGGGTTGGAAAGGTTAGTAATTTTTTGGAAGAATCATATTATCACTGGATTCTATATTTTTTGGCACTGCAACAAAGGCAAATAGACCTCAAAGAGTGAATCAGCTCAGGTTCTGTCTTGCCATATATATGTGGTGGAAATTACTTGGCCTTTTCCAAAGCACTGAATTTTTGGAGGTTGTGCAATACACAGTTGTTGGGATGGACTTAATCCCAAAACACTGCACTATTTTTTTTCCTGCATTTCCTTAGTCCATGTTGCCACTCAGCCACAAGTGATCATGAATTTTCATATTTGGTCTTTAATGTTTTAGCCTACTAGGATGTATGTCATTTGCTGGTGTCAAATAGCTGCTGATAATAGAGATTCAAAGTTCAAAAACTTACCTCTTGTTTATGAGTAGAAATAGGGAATGCCAACAAACAGAATAAGATATATTTAATGTAATAAATCACTTAATCAATATGAATACCTCACCCAAGCTAGAAGGCAAGGGGGAGGGAAGGGGAATTCAATAAGGGCCTTGGGCTGGAAGAGTGATGGCAAACAGTATTAGATATTCTAGTTCAGTCACAACATTCCATTCACAAATTGATTAACAAACATCCAGTGTTCAAGAGGATTTGTTCTGTAAAACCAACTTAACTTCAGTATTGTAGGCTTTCTATTATGGATTCAGTAGGTTTTATAGATTCAGCAAGTTTGAGGTGGATGGGCATATGAAGTGGCTGTAAATGAGTAAATCATTGATTTAATGAAAGTTCTCTGTAAAAGAGGATGCTAGAGCCAGGGTTCCACTAGTTTTTGCTAACTCTGGGACCAGATTCAAGCCAGGGATTATTTCCCTTCTGACCAGGCATGTTGTCAGGGGAACTAGGCAAGCCAGACCTTGAGAGGTTTTGACCCAATTGTTTGGAGGACACGAGAAAGGAATAATGAGAACATTATAGGACAGAAGAAGGGAATACAAACAGCAACAATAACAAACTCAAATGAAGACCTGACTACCTGATGTAAGGGTGGATGAGTAACATAAATTATATTATATATATTCATGATTACTATGGTTCAGTCTTTAACCTGTTGGTGGGATGGCATGCATACATTCCCTGTCCACTGTTATTTTAGTTTATTAACCCACTGCTGCTGCTGCACAAGTGTTCAGCCAAGGAGGAGTCAATTAGTAGACCTTATCTGATTTCACCTTTCAGGAAAATTTATTTTTTTGTTTGGAAAGTTTCTTTTGTATTTTTTTAATTGCCTTTAATGATACCAAGATTTTGATAATACTGTAATAATCATGATATCAATAAGAATAATAACAGTATCAATATTAATAGTCTTAGCAAGAAAAACACATTTTCCCACAGTTTCAAGGAAGGGGGAAATCAGGACTGGTCATTAGGGCCTACTGATAGACTCCTTGCTGGCTGAGCACATGGGAGCCATCTGTATATTACAAAAGTCACAAAAAACTACAGGGGACAGTACATAAATCCGTAGTGATTTGGTTAATAACTAAGGACTCCATTAATGAGCCTTCTTGATCTCCCCTGTTTTCCTTATTCCTTGAATTTTTTAAAGAAGAGATATTAGTTTTACTATTAACCCAAAGCCGACAGGCATGGCATATAATACATATTATGTATATGGCATGCCCACTGTGAGTTTACTTTTTTAATGTTTTTACACATAGATGGCTACACTTGTTCTAAGTCACCACTAATCCCATTATGAATACTATCTGTCTCACCTGTTTACCCTTTTGCTTGATTTTCAAAAATATTTTATGATATCTTGTATTGTTATTACTAATATCAGTAACATTGTAGTAATTGTGATGTCTATGATGATGGCTACATTTGTTCTAAGTTACCACTGATCCAATTACGAGTACTAGCTGTCTCGCCTGTTTACCCTTTTGCTTGATTTTCAAAAATATTTTATGATATCTTATATTGTTATTACTAATATCAGTAACATTATTGTAATTATAATGTCTATGATAAAAATAATATGATTGATATTCATAGCTTTAGTTAAAAAAAAAAAAAGTTTTTGCTGCAAATTCAAGGAAAGGTGAAATCAGGTAGGGTCGGAAGATCTACTAATTAACTCCTTTGTGGCTAAGCACTTGCAGAGCCCCTTATATGCAGAGACAGTTCACCAAAATGTCTAAAATGGACACAACATTTTCCCGGTGACAGTGAGTTAATAACATTAACATCATAATACTGACAATAATGACAATAACAATGAAAGTAATAGTTCTAGAAATATAAGATTTATGAGAATTGAAGGATTAAATAAATGAGTGAGGCCAGGTAGGCCTAGTAATTGAGTCTTTGGTGACTAAGCCATTGTGAAGCCATTTATGTGTAAACAAAATTACAATGGACAGTGAATGTACCTACTGCAGTTGGGCACCTTGGTATTTTTCTAGATTCATATTCTACTGAGGCTAGGTCTGAAACATTCATTTTGTTGTATGGTAGAATTATGATTTTTTTTTCTTTTGTTATTAAAAATATCTAGGGAGTGTTTGTATTAGAGAAGTATATTTTTCATCTGTTGATTTGAGGAAAATCTCATAGTTATATGGAAATTATGAAGGTTTAAACTTGGCATAAGATTCTGATAAGTTGTTTGACAAGAGTGAAAGAGTGAGTAGACTAGCAAGTGTTCATTTAAGGTGTGCATACTAGCATATAGAAGAGGAAAAAAGGCTCCTGTGTTGTGATAAGGCCAACAGAGAATGTAATGGTTGAAGTCAGATTTACAGATGGTTGGGTGGGGTGGGGGGGGAGTATGCTTGTGCATGAAGTGAGAGTGAAAGTGAGAGTGTGTGAGAGTAAGAATAAGAGTAAGAGTGAGAGTGAGAGTGAGAGAGAAAGTGGGCTGGAGAAGAGAAGAGGAAAAGAGAGAACAGAGAGATAGAGGGAAAAGTTTATAAATAGACTATGAGAGGTTTATGTCAACTGCTTTCTAGCAGGATATTTGTGTAATCTTATTGCACATTCTTGAACATGTCATTGTTGTGAAAGAGATTTGACGTCATTCTTTGGGAAAGAAGTTAATATTTTGGTGTTAAAAGGAAATGTGCAAGTCATGAGTAGATTTACCAAAGAGTGGAAGTGCCAAGGGATTATTCATCACAAAAAGAAGAAAAAAGGATGGGCTTAAATTGAAAACATCAAAGGTTTTTGGTGGATGTATGCTTTATATGTACAAATATATAAGTAGCATTACAATATATATATATATATATATATATATATATATATGTATATATATATATAATATATATATATATATATATATATATATATATATATATATATATATATATATATATATATATATATATATATAATGTATATGTATATGTATATGTATATGTATATGTATATATAATATATATATATGTGTATGTATATATGTATATATACATATGTATACATATATAGATATATTATATAGTTATTATAATGTCTATGATAAAAATAATATGATTGATATTCATAGCTTTAGTAAAAAAAAAGAAAAAAA